ACAGTGTGTGTGAGGGTGGGGTGTTAGATGGGGTACAGTGTGTGTGAGGGTAGGGAGTTAGATGGGGCACAGTGTGTGTGAGGGTGGGGAGTTAGATGGTGTACAGTGTGTGTGAAGGTGAGGAGTTGGATGGGATACAGTGTGTGAGAGGGTGGGGAATTAGTTGGAGTACAGTGTGTGTGTGAGGGTGGGGAGTTGGATGGTGTACAGTGTGTGTGAGAGGGTGGGGAATTCGATGGAGTACAGTATGTGAGGATAGGGAGTGGGATGGTGTACTCTGTTTGTGAGAGGGTGGGGAGTTGGATGGGGTACAGTGTCTGTGAGGATAGTGAGTTGGATGGTGTACTTTGTATAGGAGAGGGTGGGAAGTTGGATGGGGTACTCTGTGCGTGGGCAAGAGTGGGGAGTTGGATTGGGTACAGTGTGTGTGAAGGGTGGGGAATTAGATGGATTACAGTATATAAGGGTAGGGAGTTGAATGGGGTACAGTGTGTGTGAGGGTGGTGAGTTGGATGGTGTACTTTGTGTCGGAGAGGGTGGGGAGTTAGATGGGACACAGTATGTGTGTGAGTGTCGGGTGTTGGATGGGGTACAGTGTGTGAGAGGGTGGGGAGTTTGATGGGATACAGTGTGTGAGAGGGTGGGGAATTAGATGGGGTAGAGTACGTGTGTGAGGGTGGGGAGTTAGATGGGGTAATCTGTGTGTGTGAGAGGGTGGGGAATTAGATGGGGTACAGTGTGTGTGAGAGGGTGGGGAATTAGATGGAGTACAGTATATGAGGGTAGGGAGTTGAATGGGGTACAGTGTGTGTGAGGGTGTTGAGTTGGTTGGTGTACTTTGTGTCGGAGAGGGTGGGGAGTTAGATGGGGTAATCTGTGTGTGTGAGGGTGGGGAGTTTGATGGGGTACAGTGTGTGAGAGGGTGGGGAATTAGATGGGGTACAGTGTATGTGAGTGTGGGGTATTGGATGGGGTACAGTGTGTGTGTGAGGGTGGGGGTTGAATGGGGTACAGTGTGTGTGTGAGGTTGGGGGGTTGGATAGGGTACAGTGTTTGTGAGGGTACGGGTTGGATGGGGTACAGTGTGTGTGAGGGTGGGGGCTGGATGGGATACAGTGTGTGAGTGAGGGTACGGGTTGGATGGGGTACAGTGTGTGTGAGGGTGGGGAGTTGGATGGGGTACGGTGTATGTGTGTGGGTGGGGAGTTGGATGGGGTACAGTGTGTGTGAGGATGCGGGTTTGATGGGGTACAGTGTGTGTGAGGGTGG